CTGTCCCCTCACATGTCGCATCCTACAAGGTTTCCTGTGACTTCAGATGTAGCTCCTTGACCATCCCAGGAAGTTAAGGGCCAGCAATTTCCAACAGAGCAGCAGGGGCCAGTCTGTCCATCAACTCTGACATACTGGCTAAAAGGAAAAAGCAGGTATGTACATATACTGGCTAAAAGGAAAAAGCAGGTGTGTACATACACTGTCCCATTCAAGAAGCAGTGATACCCCATTACTGGTACATGCTGCCTGTTGACACTGGATGTTGGCTGTAACCCAGATGTGTGTAAAAGATGAAATTATTTTCTCATTCTTGATCCTCTGTAAACATGTCTGCTTTATCTTACAGGTAATCAAGTTAGTGTACAAGATGGCTAAGTGTTTCTACTCCAACAATCCCCTGTGGCCCCGTTACCTGCTCAATCACTTCTACAACCCAGGGGTCATCTGCCTACGATGACAACCCCTGAGGTGGAAGTGCTGGATGAGGTACCGTCTTCCTGTTATGGCTGTGCGAGTTCTGGTTGAGATGAAGAATCTGTATATTTTGAAATATCTCTAGCTTGTAAAGAGTTAGCGAAAGCCCAAAAGTCCACTTAACATTATTACTGAATACTAAATATTTCACTGCAAGTATACAGTACAATTTATGCCATAGCAACAACATTGCAAACTTCAAGAGCCTGTGGCCAAGCCGAAACCCCAGCAGCCTCTTTATGTTGACCAAGCTTCATAATGTGCTGCGTGCTGTTCCAAGAAGAACCAGCAATTTCTGCCACAGCTGAGGATGATCACAGAGAATTGAGTACAGAAAAGGGTTTGCATAACCAGGAACATTTTCGCACCAGAAATGGTACGACTAATTTCGTTTTTCTATACTTATGTTGCCACGCGACCCTGTACGCAGGATAAGCGGTTGACGATGGATGGATGGATGGATACTTATGTTGTTTTTCACTCAATGTATTTTTTTCTTTCAGTCTTTCTGTCACACTCTGCCTGTCAGCCATACCTTGTTTTGCACTTTTAAGTTTAGTTTATTATCTGTCTTATAGTATGTTGAGTTTTGGGTTCTGTCCTGTCTAGTGCCCGGTGTCCAGTATCTGTTATATAGTCTGTGTTTAGAGTTTCAGTTATTTCTTGTGTCCAGTTACTGTGTGCGCTTGTGCTGGTTGGTCTGTTACTGTCTGTGTGTCTGGTTGTGGGGGTTACTATCTGTCCACTGGTGTTTAGTAGTGGTTTGGTATTTTCCTGATTTCAGTTCTGTTCCAGTCTCATGTATTAGTTCTGTACCTTCATGCTTGAGTTCTGTCTGCTTGTCTATTTATGTCCTCTGCCAGTTTCATTAATTAATCTGATTTTGTTCATTCTGCTCCAGTCTCTGTGTAGCCTTTATTATTATTCATCCACATCTTACTTAGTATCTGTCTTGTCTCGTAACTTAGTTCTTTGTCTTGTACCCTAGTTCATGTCTTAGTGTTCACTCCTGGTCTGTGTACTCCTGTGTTTTGCCCATGTCTATCTGAGTTCTGTTTTACCTTAGCTTCTGTCTGTTTTCCCTGTTGGTGTTAGTTTTGTGGTGATCTGTCTGCTTGTCTTTATTAGTTTATATTTCTTCCTCTGGTCTGTTATGTGTTCAGTAACCTGTGTTCCGTCTGTTCCCCCAGTTGTCACTTTGTCTGCCTGTGTCTCTCTCTGTTTTCCCTGCTGTCTCTCTGTCTGCCTCGTTAGCCTCATGCTCCTCACCTGTGTTGCCCGCCCTGCTTGTTGTCTGTGTGTGTATATATACCTGATGTTTCTGTCTTGTCTTTGTCGGGTAATTACCTCCTGTCACGTTGTGTATCCAGTGTTGCAGTGTGTGGTCTTGTTGCCAGCTTACTCGTTGAGTCTCCCTGTTTCCCTGCTTATTTTGGATTTGGGATTCTGGATTTCTCTTTTGGATTACTTTATTTTGGACTCTGTTTGATCAGCCACTCTTCCTGTAAGTGCGCTCGCCTTTTGTTGCCTTTATCAGTAAACCATCAGAACTATACCTACTAGCCTACGTGTCCTGCGTTTGGGTCCTCCAACCTGCCTCTCCACACCACAAATCCTGACACTTTTTCTGCATTAATTACATGGCACATCAGTCACTCACACTGACTGTTTGAGTCATGTAGGTCAGACAGCGGAAGTAAACATCCATGACATGTGACAATCAAAGGACAACCACTGAAGTACAGGTAGTGACTCCCAAATGATGAGTTTGATGGTGGATAGTTCCTGTGTTTACCTTCATTGTCAGACACAAATAATAATAGGACTTGTCTCTGTATTGGTTTTATTAGATCTTAGTGCTGCATTTGATACCATTGACCATCAGATCCTATTGCAGAGACTGGAACATTTCATTGGCATTAAAGGAACCGCTCTAAGCTGGTTTAAGTCCTATTTATCAGATCGATTTCAGTTTGTACATGTTAACGATGAGTCCTCCATGCATGCCAAAGTTAGTCATGGACTTCCACAAGGATCTGTGCTCGGACCAATCCTCTTCACTTTATATATGCTTCCTTTAGGCAATATTATCAGGAAACACTCCATAACCTTTCATTGTTATGCAGATGATACTCAGTTATATCTATTGATCAAGCCAGATGAAACTCATCTGTTAGCTAAACTTCAAATGTGTCTTCAGGATGTTAAAAACTGGATGACCTGTCAGGAACATCCTGTCTAAAAATGATGCAGAAAAACTAGTCCATGCATTTGTTACTTCTAGGCTGGATTACTGCAATTCCTTATTATCAGGCTGCTCAAAGTCCATTACAGTTTTTCTCAGTCGCATTGGTGAATTTCTCAGATCAGAATTGAAATTCTCAAAACTAATTGTTCAACCTCCACACCATCTCGTCACTTGTGCACATCATAAAAGCACTATCTCATTGTTTTGAACAAATTGCGAATGACTTGACACACTGATGCAAATGATTATGTACAATTGTCTGCTGTTTCCTACATTATCAATTGCTTATGTCCTGCTGATCACAATGAATTATACCAGTCCGAATTGCCCCTGGCGGCTATTCCGCCAGTGTATGAATGAGTGTGAATGTTAGTTTCCGTTTGAGCACTTAGGCTCAGTGTATGAATGTGTGTGAATGCAGATGTAGTGTAAAAGCGCTTTGAGTGGTCGAAAAGACTAGAAAGGTGCTATACAAGTACGGAGCATTTACATTTACTGCAATGATTTCTTAAACAGTCATTACACACATGATCTGAGGAAAGTTTGTGTCCATGAATCTTTCATTCAACTACTCCCATATATATATATATATATATATATATATATATATATATATATATATATATATATATATATATATATATATATATATATATATATATATATATATATATATATATATATATAATTTAAAAACTTCTCACTGTGTATTGTTACTGGTATTGAGTATTGGTATAAGTGTTGCTATTGTGATGTTGTTGTGGTCTATCCTTACTTTGTTTATGGTCCTTAAGAAACAACATTTCGTTTAGCTAGAGTGTATACTTGTAGACAAAGGATATTTTTTGAACGTGTACAACCACGACTGCCTAGATGTTTTGGGGGGTAAGATTATTCAGCAGAGACTGGTATAATTCATTGTGATCAGCAGGACATAAGCAATTGATAATGTAGGAAACAGCAGACAATTGTACATAATCATTTGCATCAGTGTGTCAAGTCATTCGCAATTTGTTCAAAACAATGAGATAGTGCTTTTATGATGTGCACAAGTGACGAGATGGTGTGGAGGTTGAACAATTAGTTTTGAGAATTTCAATTCTGATCTGACAAATGCACCAAAGTGACTGACATCTATTTATATAGCGCCAAATCACAAGAACAGTTATCTCACAGCGCTTTTCATAAAAGAGCAGTTCTAGACCGTACTCTATGATGTTATTTACAGAAGCCCAACAGTTCCCACCAAGAGCAGCACTAGGAGACAGAGGCAAGGAAAAACTTCCTTTTACAAGCTGGTTCTACAAGCCTGGCTTTTATTTTAATATGTTTTCCATTACTTCCGGGTCACCTGGCCCACCTGTCTTTATTTTCTCAACGTCTATCTTCAAACGGAGAAATAAAAATAGGAATTTCAAAAAACCAAAATCGGACCATTATTTGAATTTGGTTTAGTCGTTTATTCGTTTTTGGATTCAGAAACCAAAAAAGGAAAACGGCTCTTTTTCCCCGTTTCTTCGTTTTTGGTTTAAAATGACAAACGAAAAAAAGGTGGTTTCACATTTGTTCGTTTTGTGGTTCAAACGAAAAGGATTGTCACCCCAAAATTAACATCGCTAATAGGTTTTGACTTCTGTGCAGGACTCTTTAAAAACTGGTCAGCATACCCTCCCGATCAGTTTGCATCGTAAGCACAGCTTGGGACGAAGCTCTATTTTTCCATTCAAATCCATTTTCATCACCTCCTTTTTATCAATTAATATTTGTTATTTCAACAATAAACATGGTCAAAACAGACACAAAAGGAAATAATTTAACTACGTAGCCTACATCACAGGAGAAGCACAAAATTAAAAAAACTGATTACTAAATCAACAAAATCTAAAAATGCAAAATCAGGCAGGCAAAATGCTCCGATTCTGAAATGCTCCTTGTGGGAAATGCAGCCTGAAGTTGACAGAACGAAACGGGGTCACATAGAGCTGGGAAGAAGGTAGCCTAGTAGAAGCACAAAAAGTCAGTGGATTCCCGTTGTCAGGAAAAAAAGTCTTGCTAGCAGTATACTTAGTTTTAACAATTCCGAAGAATCTTTGTGGACTGGAAATGTTTAATTTTTGTATAATGTAATATTTTAAAGGACATATTATATATTGGTATATATTTAATGTAAAGGCTAATTTAAAAGTTGTAGGCTACACCTCCCCACCACCCTCTTCAGGACTCATGACCTCAGTATTTCTAAAATCCTGGCTCCGGCCCTGGTGAAAGCGTAGTTCATCTCACATCGTCAACAAGGCAAAGAAGGGGGCTCCATCATCGTAAGAGCAGGGGGGCTGGCGGTTGTTGTGAATGAGGGCCAGCATGACGTCAGGAAGCCAATGTCAACAATGCAGCTGCTAGAGGAGAAAAGGCGTTTCATCCAAACACACACACACACACAGGAGACCCGTCTACCACACACACACTAAACGATGCCTACGGTCCATTAGAAGCAGCGGTTCTGGCTGTCGGATGGCGGAGGAGATATAACACAATGCGGACACACTCTTATTTGTAAGGGACTGAACGCAGACGAGCTGGAAAAAACGGGTAAGTCGGTCCCTCCGTTACAAGGATAATAAGCAACCATTGGGCTTTAACGCTACTAACTTGACGCTTGAATAAACCAGACAACGGGAGCCCCTTGTCAGCCTTGGATTTACTTTAACTGATCTGTCTGCTGGCACTGGCGTTCCTTGCATGATTGTGTTGTAGGCATACTCGTGTTGTGTTCTGTGGAGTTGCTTTAACCACGGTGTCTGTTACTTGTTATTCCTGAGCTACGTGCTTAACTGTTGCCTGCTGTGGTTTTGACACCGTGGTGGTGTTCGCGCAGGTTAGCTGGGATGCTGTCTTCGGCATGTTTTAGCTAGGTTGAACCTAAATTGTTTAACTCAAAAGCGTGTTTGTCTTAGCCTTCACGCCGGGAAAGTAACGTTAACGTTACAGCCCTAACAACGTGGGTTTGTGTTTTTGGACCGTTTAATTATGCTGTTTGTTTAGCCAATGCTAACTTTAGTTAACGTTACACACAAACCTACACAACACAAATGCCAGCGTCTGAAAGAATGAATACTGACAGCGTTAACCGTTTGAAAGTAACCTCTGGTTATGGTGCCTTGTGACAGTGAACGACTAGCCCAGTCTGTGGAGTCATTATGACAGACTACACGCGTCCGTTAATTCTACAAGGAAGTTGTAGGTCTTTATTTTAGTCCGCTTGTAATTTATTAACTAGCCACTTCTATTATAACTGCCACAACACATATTTGTGGAAGACTAAACGGGGTTGGCACATGTTTTGCACGAGAGACAAATGCTGCCACAACAGGAGCTCGCGCTCCTGTCACATTGGGGGAGGAAGGGGCTGCAGAGGGACAAAGGACCCAGCCCCCCACCCCCTTCTTCCCGCCCTCAGCCGTTTCAGTCGGTTCAGTAAACACCCACGTCGGAATAAAGCAAGCTTTATTTTGGTACATTTTATAATAGTTCGCTGCAACATTCAGCTATGACTGTGAGAATGTATGTCAAAATGAGCCCACTGCCCTTCAACTCAACGGCAATTCTCAACCTCAAAGGACTAGCCTAACGAATTACTGATTTCTTATTTTAATTATACCCTAATACATGTAGTAGCTAGAAATATTTTCATATTGAATTAACACTCAAGCCTTCAATTACCACCATTTAACACAATATATTATGAGTGGAGTTAGTGTCTGTATGACTTCTTTAAGCCATGGTGAACATGCCTTGTTGTGAACAGATTAGCTCTTTGTTATCCTTCCTACAAAGACACTCTCCCTCCTCTTCCATCTTCTAACTCTCTCCTAATGGGAAACCAGTAACACCAGACTATTTGCACCACTTGATTGATATTAGGGGTGGGGTGGGTGGTGGTTTGGAGACTATCAGTGTTACAGTGTTACAAACTAGGCTTTGGACAGACATTCACCTGACTGGAAGGGTCAGACAAAAGATGTTAATGAGTATTATGGGAAGTGTATGATACAGCGTTTTGGACCTATACTAGGGACTAAAAGTCAGAAAGCCTTGGCCTCTTCTGCACAGATCTCAAAATCTAAAGTCCACTAATTAGATGGAACCAAAATTAATTGGCCGAAAATAGTAAAAAAAAAGCACTTCCAGTGTTCGGCCTAATAAGTCAAAACACTGATTCAATTTTACCAAACAATTACATTGACATGTCGGCAGTGTGGAAACATTTTAAAGAGTCAGAGAAAGATGCAAAAATCGCTGTTTGTAGACACTGTTCTGCTGAATTGTCCCCAAGCGCATCCACTCCATCTGTGGCTGACTTCTTAGAAAAGGCAACAAATGGTCTGACCCGCTTTGAGTGTTTCTGTCACTCGTTTCTGAGAAGATGATTAAGCTAGACGCACCTACATTTGGAGTGCACACGTATTGAAGCATTTATGGTACCTGAAGCGGCCCAGAGCGAGCTGACAGGCAGGTTAGAGACTTTACCCTATCTCTTTACAAAGACAAGTGTTGCAGTATGAGAGTCCTACCTGAAGAGAGGCTGGGAAGTCTTGAAGCACATTTTGACTACTTAATTTATGCAATGGTAAAAAAAAAAAAAAGTTCTTGTTCGGTATTTGGCAAAAATTTTCATTAAAAATTTAATTTCTGTTCATCCCTAGTGCAGCACTAAACTGTTGGAAAGCCCCATCAAGTTTCTCTTAAGCAGTATAAGAGGGGTGGCTGTGGCTCAGGAGGTAGAGCGGGTTGGTCAATCCCTGGCTCCCCCTGGTTGCGTGTCCCCCTGGTGCTCAAGATACTGAATCCCGAATTGCCCCTGGCGGCTGTTCTGCCAGTGCATGAATGAGTGTGAATGTTAGTTTCCGTTTGAGCACTTAGGCACTGTAGTGTAAAAGTGCTTTGAGTGGTCGAAAAGACTAGAAAGGCGCTGTACAAATACGGAGCATTTACATTTACATAAGGTTAACCAATGCTGGATAGAAAATAAAAGCGCGCACCTTCACTGTCATTCTTGATACTGCCACTGGATGGCACCAAATTAAAAATAAATAAAACAGCATTTAGTGGCTTTAATTAAGATTGATTATTAATAATTACAAGATGTCGTTAGTGCTTAGTTGACTGTTTGGCCTGAAGGTGGCTTTAGAGGCAAGCTGAATGAAGCTCATTTTATTTTTTGTTTCATTTTTTGTTTCTGTTTGGCCTGTTTGATTCAGGAATGGTCAGAGAGTCACCAGAATCATTAGGAATCATACTGAAGAAAAGTAGCCTGTATTTTTATATATACCTTTTCGTATTCCTATTGTTGAAGACTAATTTGTGGCCAGACGGTTGAAGCTAAATACCACGGGGACATTAGGAATCCTCCTCTGGGGACTGAGTATCTGTAAAAGGAGAAAGGAGAATTATAATAATTTATTCACTTTCCAAAACCTAAAACAAATCCAGAAAATGTAGGCCGTGGATTGTTCCTAATGTAATTTTAGCTAATGTTACCTAACTTGCTACTGAATGTAACGTTATAAAACCCTGCTGTTTTTGCTTTTGAATTACTGTAATAGTAAATAGAGACCTACCCAGCTTTCCAGGAACAGTGTTGATCCTTAATATTGTTGTCCTTTGTCTCAATTGTCAGGTAATGCAGTGGTTCACTTTTACTCTGTGATCGGTAGGCTTTAGCTTCTGTCTTTATTTGTTTCATGTCAGTTTGACATCCTGAATACAACCTTCAAATGTGTAATGCAGACCTTTCTGTCTCCTTTCTGAGATCACTTTTTTCAGTTTTCCCAAAATTAGACAATATTTTGTGCAATTATAGACAGTGGCAGCGCTGTGATAAATCCGACAGGTCTAACAGATTGTCGGACTTAGCAACAGTAACTAAGGGGGGCGTGGCTTAGTAAAAGGTCAATTAAGCAGTGTTTTGTCTATTCATTTTAATTTTACTTGTACAAAACCGCTCCTAGTCTACTTTTGGAGACCACAAGTAACCCTGCATTCTGGGAGCGCAGTGCTCTGGTGGGGTAGTAAGGTACTATGAGCTCTTTAAGATAAGATGGTGCCTGACCATTAAGAGCTTTGTAGGTAAGAAGAATGATTTGAAATTCTATTCTGGATTTTACTGGAAGCCAATGCAGAGAAGCTAAAACAGGAGAAATATGTTCTCTTTTCCTGGTTCCTGTCAGAACACGTGCTGCAGCTTTCTGCCATGTTGAAGTCAAGTGTATACTCTTTTGGAGTAATTACTTATGAAGTCTGGGTGAGATTGTATATTATATATTATATCTGGGTGAAATTAAGTAGTAACTGATTCAAACAGACTTAAGATGACAGAAGATATTGCATTTTAAGATAACTCACTCCTGGTGTGGGTTTAACACCAACTCCTAGGGTTAACAACCCACCCCAACCCACTTGATACACATCTCAGAATCAACTCTTGTACCTGAACACTGGCAACATTTGTCTGCCAATAGTAACACTGTCCCTCATATAATGATAAAAAAAATCACTAACAACAGGGGCACTAGTGTCTTTGTAAAATTATCTTTATTTAGTTATGCATAAACCTAAAAAACATTAGAACAAAAATAAGAACATTTCATGGCATGGATTGTGCTGCCTACCTTGCAGTGTATGTCATAGAAATTTATCAGAAATGTTGCAATATACTTCAATGGGCTCGCAGACAGTAATTCCAAGTGCACTAACTGAAATTAAAGTACTTCCAGTTATGCAATACATATAAAACTATATATTCATACATCCATATTGTACGTGTATATGATAGCTGCAGATATAGTAATACAATAGTGCTAGTCAACTGTGCCTTCTGCATTTGGCAACAAGTTCTCATCCACATCACACCATCTGCCCTCTCTTGCAGTACACCTGAGAAAGCATCTTTTAGCATGCCTGATATGGATCAGGCATGCTAAAAGATGCTTTCCCTGGCGATCTTCTGCAGATATGTCCAGACAGTGTGTCCAAAAGGGTCATCTTGGCCTGTACTACAAAGTTCAACATAAACAGGATATCTTTCCGGATAACTGTCTAACTACTATCCCTTACAATTGCAATCAGGATAAGCAGTCACATGATGCTGGTTATCAACTCAGCTAGTCAACCCAGGGTTTCCCAATTCAGCCATGAGCACGTTCACATAAAAGGGCCGGTGTTTGCAGAAGAGGACCAATTGCAAACATGAACCAGTCTACTTGCAGCAGAGAAGGGGTGGGAATCTTGGGCACCTTGCGATTTGATTTGATTACGATTCAGAGGGCTGCGATGCGATTATAAAACTATCTTTATGCACCTTTTTTAAAATGTGATTTCTGGATAATTACTATGCATTTAATTTGCACATTGAAATCTAAAAGAATCTCCCTCGCTTAAAAGGACTAGATTGCTTCCCTTATGCCATTTTTCTATCACCAGTACCAGCTCAACTCTCCTCTCCTCAACTCAACTCGATTTGGCCGTGCACTGTTTTCCATTGCAGATAGTACCCAGAGATAGTATTCCTGTATGTATTTTCTTGTAATTTC